TTGAAAAGCCTAATAAATTATAAATTTGAAATCATAATACTAAATATATCATATTTTACAAAAATTATGTTTTTTAACTCGTCAGCTTATTTTATTCGTATGTGCATATTAATTATTGTACTTGAAAACAAAACAAATACATTTATATTTTATTATGTAGAATTATTATCAACTGATACGCCCTCATTTTTCTATTTATCTGTATATAGAAAAGATACATAATACAATAAAACGAAGAAAATGTTTGATATCTTTATATTTGTTCCATGACTCTTCAATCTAATATAAAAATTAATTCTGTAAGAGTATTTAAAAATAGAGTAATATTTATATAATAAATTCTAATTAGTAATGATCTCAATGTTTAATTATTTAACAATTATAAATATAAATGTAAATTTAATATTTTTTCTTTTTTATTTAAGTACTTATATAATTAAACTGTCTATATCAAATAATAAGTAATTACAAGAGTTAACAAATATTTAGTATATTGTCATTGTAAGATAATCAACTTTTTACTGTCATATTAATATTTTTAGTTAAAAATTTTTTATTAATCTGTAACATTTGTAGAATAAAATAAGAGACAAAAATTTGAAAAAGTTTTGAAGATATACAATATTAAAAAGTATTATTAACATTTAGTGCTATTGGATGGTCACAGACTATTTCCGTTTCATCCTATCATAAATCGATATGAAAACACGCGCGCCCACACGATAATTTATGTAGCAGTAGTAAACAAAGGATTAACAGTAGCAATAAACCCTTTTGCGTTTCCATGCCGATATAGGTGTAATATAGTCAACAGTTGCAGCAGTTAAATAGAAATGGACAACCTGCAATTCTCTTATCAATCGATTATACAAAGTGATAAATTATTATTGATATGTGATAAATAATAAATTTATTGTAAATTATTAATCTAAATTTAATTTAAATTATTACACAAACTTTTCTCAACTACTATAGATAAAGTTTCTGTAAACTAATATTATATTTTGAAGCTCTAAGTAACTTCCTATTCTATGAATAAATATATTTTAGTAATAAAGGCCATATTAAGAAAAATCTATAATCAAGATAAAGATTTGAACAAATGGGTCGATAATGTTTGCACTGTATTGATTGTTTTAATGAATAGTTTTTTATTTTTTTCTACATCAGATATATTTATATTAATTAATAATTTTGTGAATGTTAACAATTTAATTTCGTATATATATATATATATATATATATATATATACGAAATATATATACGAAATTAAATTGTATATATATATATATATATATATATAGAAAGTTTACAGTATTAACTTGTGTAATTTTTCTACATTTTAATATTAGAGAACAATTTATTTTAAAAAATCGTTAATAAAATTTACATTCAAAGAGAAAAAATGACCTTGAAATAAATATACAGCCATCAACATTGATTCTTATGTTATAAATTTAACTAGTAAATTCAATACTTGCTTTACGATATCTATAGACAAATTAAATAAGAATGCATATTTAGAAGTGAGCAAATGTAGCTGAATTGGAAATGTTTTTTTCGCCCAATGATATCATTACACTGTTCATTGTAATTTACCGTGCATAGTTATGCACGCTTTTGAAAACAATGATAAGTGTTACGAGTGCACATTACAAAGTATGCATTATGACATGAAGGTAAAATAACGATGAATTTTGTCGCGACCACAATGAATAAATCCAGAAGTTTTGAATGCTGTACGAAGAATTTAGAAAAAAAATATAGAGCTCAGTGAATTGACAGAATTTAATTTATGTTGCAAAAGTTTCTTTATTGAATGTCGAAAAAAGAAATAATATTCCTCAGAATATATAAAAAAATCACTTCTTACATCTGCAACGACTTTTTTTCTTTCTGTTTTTTTTTCTACTTCAATTCTAAATATTCGTTTATAAGAAATGTTAAAATGTCTGATTTTATGTCAATGATCTCTATAAATAAAGTCATTCTTAAAATGAAATTGTAAATGTTAATAATATTTGTATTTTAAAAATACTAATAAATTTACTGGGTATAAAAAATAAAAGACATTAAAATATCTTTTACTAATGAATCTAATTCAATATTACGTAATAGTTGCATTAAAATTATCAATGAACATCATCAGTATGGCATAACATTGATTTTCGTTTGCTTTTTGCTTTGATGACATTACGGAGAATTGGAATAAATAGAATAACGATATAAAATGTTATTTTCTTTGTTCACTATAGTTTTATAACATTTTTCTAATTCATATTTTTTATACATGCTAATAACGTTATACTAAAATAATGTTAAATCATAAACATTTTTTTGGTAATAATTGTAAATTAAAAAATTGTTTAGAATATTAGTTTATTTAGTTAATTTAAAAAACATAGTTTTATAGCTGTATCCTATATAGTTTGATATAAAAGTATAATTAATAACCAAAGAAAGTTTAAAATAAGATTTTTATAATCAAAATTAGCCTTACTTTCTAAAAGATATAAATTAATAAAAATTCTTTTAATAACGATAGAATGTATAATATTTAAAAGATAGTAGTATATTTGATTTGCTCGTTTAATCAATAAATTCTGGAGCTGAAGAATTTTTCCGCTTGAGTTATTATTGCTGATACTTTATCAATTTCAAAGACTCTTCAAAAGCTTTTCACAAATCATATTATTCTAAGATTTTTAAATTAATTTTATTATTATTTAAAACCATAAATAATGAAATAATGAATTTAATCGATTAAATATTTCGAATAAAATTTGATGTACAATTAGATAATAAATATGAAAATTAGAGATTTAAATTTATAACAAATAATAATATTAGCAATTATTCTAAAAATATTTTCATTCATTCGGTATGCAATTACATGTCTTTAATTAATATTTGAAATTTGTATTTGACAAATTAATTTCTGAAGTTTAATTACCTGTCATATTTGGTATAATTAAAATTTAATATTTATCATAGTACTTCAAAAGAAAAGCCTATTTTTGTTTCAACTTAATCGCATTTATTAAATGTTTTTATTAATTTGCAAATAAATGATTAGTTTGTATAAATTATTATGTATAGTGAAGTTATTGTTTATAAATGTTGAAGTTAATCAACTTTTAAAACAGTTTATATACAATAATTTGTATTTTATGTATCATTAAAAAATTATAAAACAATAAAATTTTCTTAACAATATTAGTAATTTAACGTTGAAAAATTAATCTATAATAATAGTGTGAGCTTATTAGTGCTATATAATACTTATTGCTATATTTATTATTAAAAAATATGTTTTTCGTTCCATTATATAAAATATTAGAGTTGTTTTATAAATTATTGCAAGAGTTGCTGTATCGTTGTTTATAATATATAATATTAAAGTTTCTCATTTTTATGGCACGGAAAGTACATCGACAAAATTCATTAACATAATAAACAACAAAAATTAAAAAAAAAAATTGTAAAAATTTTCCAGTTTATGCATAATATAAACATGTATCGAATTACAGGAATAATTAATATAAATTATAGTATCTAAAAGAATTTAAATGGAAAATATTAAGAAAATTCTTAAACGTAAAATTGTTATTTAAAAAATCAATTATCATCTTTCATTATAAAAATATTAGTTAACTTGTTTAATAGACATTCTATTGAAGTGAGAATTTTTTTCGACAGTACATCATACAAAAATGAATAGAATTTCATTCATGACAAACTAGCCTATTAATGTCTGCCACGTTTCTTCATACTTGGTTAACCGAGCAAAATGGGCGTAACTTCAAACAACAAACGTACTTTTATTTTTTTAACTAGTCTTTACGTATATCGCCTATTCAAATCAAATAGCAGATGAGGTTTCTTGAACAATAAGATCTTAACAATAAGATATATAAAGTAATTAAATTAATCTCGAACAATAAGATATATAAATTATTTTTCAAAAATTTTTTTCTTTATTATTTTCCATTAAAAATTAAATTGTGATTAAAACAAATTTTAAATATAAAAAACAAAACTAAAAAATTGTTTTTTTATTTGAATTAGATTAGTTATCGTTTAATAAAAGCACTATTCATTCGCTGATAAATAAAATAATGTTATTTATCAAATTACTGTGACGTCCAAATAGTCAATTTTTTTTTCTTTTGATTTACAATGAAATACTTATTTATGCATACGAGGTACGTTCGATTTTTTTAAAAATTAACGATATTCTCTCAAAACTCCGGATAAAGTGATATATATATATATATATATATATATATATATATAAATATATATATTAACATATGTACAGACACATATGGACCTACGTATTCATCTACACAACACATATCTTAATATTTAATATGTTTATACAAGTTGCATTTCATAACTATAATGTTAAATATTTTAATAGAAAATAACAATGAAATAAAAGGAATTTATAAAATAGTTATATTTATTGGAATTTACACAAACTTTTTGCCTACATTTTAGTAGAATAAATAATTCCATTGCGCTAACGGATTAAAAAGTGAAAATATTTTTTTTAATTTTAAATATTTAAATATAATTATGGGAATCTTGATATTTTGAAAGCTTAATTCGGATAAATCGATAATATAAATATTATTTGTGAATCTAGACAAAATTTGAAAGCCATTAGACAAACATTGTATTATAATTGAGTAGATATTTATAATTTAAGAGAGCTCTGATCTATAAATAATGTAATTGGCATAATAATAGTGATTTATTTTTAATGAAAATGATTATTAATGTTTACATTTATGAAAATAGCTTATAATTAATAAATATTTGCATAAATATTGATAAACGTGCTCGTGATAAGGTTATAATTATAGTAAAGATGTCGCTCGCGACTTCCGGCTCTACCGCATTAGACAAAGAGAATGGAGGGAAGACAGAGTTGGAGGTGTTCAAAGCGACTACACTCCGCCATTTTTAGTTGAAGCGTAAAAGAGAATCGATCGGTATAGACGCTGATATACGCCATGTTTGTTCGTCGTTAGCGCCGACAACGTTGCTGAATTGGACGTGCTGTTTCTTTTGCATTTTTAGATAATGTGCATAAAATAATAAATTTATTATAATACACATTTGTATAGATTTAGTGAGTTTTTAGTGGATTATATATTTGTGGTCGAATATCAAACAAAACTAATGCAACGTTGAACATTCTGTAAAGGTGAGTTTCATCACGTTTTACCGCATGGTCAATTTAAACACGCAATAACTATATTTTCCAATTTATCTAACAATATCTTTATTCTTACATTAAAACAAAATTTTGATAGAAAATTTTAAGTAAATCATCAAATATTTTTAAGAGTTGTAATAATTATAATGCGCACGAGAGAGATAGCAATAGTTCCTTTTTAGAATTTTATCCTTAAACCAAGTTTTATGCCAAATTTATATAACGATATATTTTATTCGAAGTTTTTGAAAATATGTCACGTGATGTATTTCAATGAATAATATTTTATAAATATTCATTTGAGAGAATTTCGGCTATTACATCATGCTGTCTTGTGTAAATTATATATATTACGAAAATATGTTTATAATTTTATTATCTTTTGAATAGATATTTTAATCATTTTAATGGGAATTTCGGCGCGCGCGCGCTAGTGTGTATATATATATGTATGTGTGTGGGTGGTGGGTGTACAGGTGTATGAACGCATGAATGTATCGATTAATGTATGTTTCCATGCATATATCGATGTGTTTTTCTATGTGTGTATGTCTGTCTGAATGGATGTTTGTATGCGTGTTTGCATGTGTGTATGTATGGATATATACAAGCTTGTATGAAAGTTTGCATGCATGTATGTATGTATATACATTTTTTTGTAATTAGTTTTTGTAGATTGACGAGTGGATGACAATTAAAAATGGATTCTATGGACCCACGGCTTATTAGTCAAGCTCTCAATTATCATGGTCAACAGCTCCAAAAAGTTTGGGAAAGCGAGCGCAATGAAGCTGAACTCTCAATGCTTAATCTGAAGGAGCCAAATTTTGAAATTTATCAACAGCGCCAAAAAACCCTAAGGTATTTTTATTAAAAAATTTTTGTTTATAATTTTCTTAATATCGATAGCTTCTATATAATTACATTCAAGTTTCCTTTGAAATCAGATGAATAATTTAAAAATATATTATTATATAAAATAGAATAAATAGAATTGCATTTTTTGGTACAAATATATATTAATTAAAATATTAATAACATTATATTTGAATGTAAACTTCATTCAAAATTGATACTCAAAGGTCTAATTTTGTAAAATGCTATATATAAATATAAAAATTGTAATACATTATGTTTTTATAAATTATTTTAAAATAAAATTTATGCTCTAACCATTATTTATAGCTGTTAAAATACTATATTTTATTAATCTAGTATCAATTCAAACATTTTATTAAATTTATATAAGCTAAATTATAACCCTTATTTGCAGATGATTTAACCAAAAACTATTTTCAACTGTTCTAAATTTACGTATATTTTATTGGATATAAACAATTGTTGTTAATAAATCTAATATTAAATATATTTATATTGAGGAACCAGAAAAGGGTAGGCAAATTAGATGATTACATTTAATATTTGATATTTAGACCTTTGAATTTTTATATTTAAGAATTAGACTTTATTAAATTAATTAAAATTTTTTTGATATAATTTAAAAACTACATATATAAAAATATTCTGTATTTAAACATTTTTATAGTTACATATTGAGGGTTTATTCATTAGTTTTAGCGATAGAGGCAAAAGATTGAAACTTCAACAGTTTCTAGCCAAGAAGGCAGATGCTCTATATGACAAATCTAATCTTATCAGAAGTGCTGATCCAATCAAACAAGAACTTGGAGACGAAGGTAAAATTTTTTTTTAATTAAATAATTTTAAAATATAAATTAAATTATTTTTATAACATTTTTTTTTTCTTTTTATTTAAAGAATTCTATGCTACAATGCCTGGTCTGGACTCATTTGTAGCAATGGAAAAGTCTCAACGAATACGTAATTTTTTAGAGGTAATTTTTGATAAAATTTGAATTTGAAAATTAAAAATTAAAAATTATAAAATATAAAATTAAATTTCTGTTTTATTATTTTTAGAGTTTAATAGTTGGTGATGTCATTTTTGCACAAGTAATGGGCAAAAGTGCTGCTGGGCTTTTGTTAAAGGTTCTTTGCAACTGCAGTGATTTTCCAAGAGTTGTTTCCGATCTTGGTGTAAAAGTAATTATTTATTATATGAATTAATTTAAATATTTTTTAAATTGAGATCCTAATACAATTCTTATGGACCTTATTTTTATTTTTAATAGGCTTTAATCTTAAACACTGCCACTGTACCAGCAGTGGATAAGAAAGGTGTTACAAGAGGCTACATGGCCAATGATCTTGTCTGCGTTGTTGTTGGTGAAGTTAATGTGGAAGCTGAGCGAGTTGTAGCAGTTATGAATGTGCCTCCTCGTGAAGGTCAAGCTTCTCATCCACCTATGGGACTTGTACATGCCGAAGATCTGCCTGATGCTTACAAGTTAGTTAATTTTAAGCATTTGATAATTTTGTTGAAATTGATTTTTTAATCAAAGCTTCTATTTTTAACTTTTGATTAAGGCATTTAATTGTATTGAGGTCTTTTGAACATTATTTAATGATGACGCGTTTGTTCAGCTTGTATTTTCCTTTTTTTTGTCATACTGTTCTCGAATTTAATAATATATTAGTTAGTAATAAGGTGGTATTCACAGTCAGGCTTTAGATATATGTTTATCTTGAGCTGAATCTCCCCGTGACTAGAATAAACTAAAACAATCTTGGAAGTTCTAGCAATGAAAGACCCAACTATGAATATCACCCAGAAAATGTTTACTGACAAAACAAAAACAAAACAAAACAAAAAAAAAAACAAACAAAAAAAAACCAAAAACATTAAAAAAAAATTTTTATTAAAAAATTAAAAAATAAAAAATAAAACAAAACAAAAAAAAAACAAAAAAAAACTAGGAAAAATGATCGATTCAAATGGGTCATGATTGCTATTAACGACCATAGATAAAGTGGGTTTTAGTTTTGTCTGACCAGCTTTTATGAATCCAGGTGCCAGACGGTCTATAATATAAGTGTCAGTAGTTGATATGACAATGAGTTTATAATCAATATGAAAGATTTGAAGTTCAAGCAGTGGTTGACACAGCTATTAATGTTTTCACGTTCTATCTACATTTGTGATAAATGTATTACATTTCAAGCACCAATGAACGTGTCACTAAACACCAAATGACCTCAATGTATTTTGAGATTATATTTGCAGTATGAAGCGCTGTTTGGGGCATTCTGGTCTAATATTGCGGATGGTAGGTATAAAGAAAATACACAGTTGTTTGGTCTTTCCATAGTGCATTTCATTTTGGAACTACAACCAATTATTTTTAGCACCTTATTTGTTTCCATGTAAGTGTTTCAGCTTCTTCAATGTTAATTTAGCTTAACTTTTTTTGTAAAAAGACCAAGCAACTCAATTCGTGCATCCAAAAGTGATTTAATTTAATCCTTGAATAATTCGCGTTTTGTCAAGATGATTAATACATCATTTAAACTTACAGCTTTATTTGACAAATAAAAACGATGTCATTTGATCATTACACCACAAAATGTGCTACGTCTAAAACTGTTTTTTTGGTCAACTTGTGGATGATAAAAAAAATATATTGACGTGGCATTAAAACGTAACCTAGGGTTATGCATATTATTTTGTTGCACAAAAATGAATTTTGATATTAAAATATAACCTCTGTACCCGAGCTAGGGCAGCACATGCTTTAGTATCGAAAGAAAACGTATTACAGAAAATTATAAATACCAATCAAACAGACTATAAGTATACATCTTAGGGGTAATTAGAAAGGTGAGGCATGAGTTTTAATAATTTTCAGGTGTTGCACTGTTGTAAAATAATAGAACAAAAAATTGGATAAGTTGAAAGTTGGTTTACTTGTAAAATTTTGTGGCTGCTTGTTAACAAAATGAAGTAATATTGGTTGTGAAATTTCTCAAATATAGCAACTAACCTACACTCTTTTAACAGTAATCTGCGCAAAATATGAAATAGGCATAAATCTCAATTAATTCAGCATTGTCAAGAATAATGTGGATTTAGATTTAATAAGTTTCAATGAATGACTAAAAAAGCAAACAAACTCAGTGAATTACAATCAAAGTAAGAATATGTGATGATCTACAATGTATTAAGTCAAGTTGAATGTTCCTTAAGTGGGTAAAAAGTGAAATTAAGAGAGAGAGAGAGAGAGAGAGTGAGTGAGTGAGCGAGCGAGCGAGTGAAAAAGCGTCGAGACAGGGAAAGGCAGAACAGAGTATATCCATCAATTTTGTTCATTAGTATTAAGAGTGAAGTGTTGTAATGTTAACAATGCAGCCATTTTCCTATACTCTTTCAAAATGATAATTTCGAAAAAGTCATTGCATGTTGATAATATTATTTTGTTTTATTTTTATGTAGGAAAGCGATGGACAACAAAGGACAAAGCTATGAAACAATCATGGAGAATAGTTCTGGATTCAACAATCCAAACAACATTAAATATCTGTCTGATTTGATGGGACTTGGTCAGATAAGCTATTCGAATATGGTCGGCTTAAGGTAAATATATCTTTAGAATGTAAATTTTAAATCAAAAGCATTTGAATTATTTTAAGAATTAAAAATACAATTGATTATTTAGTATAAGTTAATTGTTGTCAAAGTAAAACATATATAAAGAGAAATAAATATAATTGATTAACTTATTGATTATTTAAGATAACTGCTTACTATATAAAAAACATGTTCTTTCAAGTAGAAATAAAAGTATAAATGGAAAAGATGAAGAAATTGAATATATTATCTATTTTCAATAATACAGAGAAAGGTTCCCGTCCAATGAATGTGCTAGTGAATTAAGACAGGCACAAGCCAGCAAGTGGGCTTTTCGCAGTGTGGCAGAAGGTATCGATCATTTCAAAGCTGGTCGACATTCAGAAGCTTTCCAATGCTTGAATAAAGCTCTGACTGTTGATCCACGCAATGTCGAAGGATTAGTTGCCAGAGGTGCATTGTAAGTAGTATTTAAAATCGAAAGTATTTCGATTACTAATGGCATAGGAGTTTTATAAAAGTGCATAACAAAACATGGGTAAAAATATAACAAATTTTGTTTGAATACAGGTATGCTAATAGTGGCAGCTTCAAAAAGGCAATTGATGATTTTGAGACGGCATTAAAGCTAAATCCCAGTCACGCTAATGCTCGTAAGTACATGGCTGAGACATTAGTTGCTTTAGGCCGCAGCTATGAAGATGAGAAAAAGTATGAAGAAGCACTTAAGGCGTACGAAAATTGCTTGACCATAGCACCTTATCATGAAGAGGCAAAGAATTCAATTGAGTACATTAAGAGCAAAACAAACCTGTCAAGTGGTGGTGGTGGTGGAAATGGTGTCGGCGGTGGCAATCTATCTGCAAATTCCCTCGAGCCTTTCAAAGCCTTCGAACGTGAAAACGAGGTCGTGGATGGTGAAACTAAGAAGGAGAAGAAGAAGCGCAAAAAAGAACGCAAATCGCGCTCAAAGAAGCGCCAACGCTGGAGCTCGAGTTCTAGTTCATCGAGCCCAGGCTCGTCAAGCAGTAGCAGCAGTTCCGATTCATCGGGTACTTCGAGCTCGTCCGCTGGCAGTTCTCGTTCCAACTCTCGTTCGCCAAATCGCAGGAAGAAGCACAAGAAGGAACATCATGGATCCTCACTTTCACCCCTTTCTAAGCGTATGGCTCAATATAATAATCCACCAGCAACAGGAATTGTCGCTGCCGTGACCCTCAACAGCCATGATAATATAGCACCGGCACAGCTTTACGGTCCCAATTCCCGTGAGAAGGAGGACTACGAGTTGAAGGTCCGCAAGTTCTTGGAGCAGACCAAAGACGATTCTGATTATGAAGACAAGGTACTTTCCATGAGTGGATTACCTAGTAAAGCTCGATGCTGGCGTCGCTGGAACACAACGAGAAATTTAGTGTTGAATTATATTTCTTTTTCAAAGTTAGCGGCACGTTTTTTATTATGAAAATGGGTTGACGTGACTTAGGCCAAGCTCGAGTTATTTCAACTCATTTTACTTTGTATTTTTCCAATATCAACAAATCAACTGTAAGATATTTAATTATATTTACATCTAGTTAATTTCAAATTGCTTTTTATTTTGAACAAGTTAATATTTTGGTAGTATGAGAATTTACGTCAATTTTCAGTGTTGCAGTTTAATTAATTCCGCGATAGGGGAATTGTGATTTCAAGTTTTAAGAATTCCAACAAAAAGTTCCACATGTGAAAGTGAAATCAGTAACTAAAGCTGAGTTATTGTTGAATTGCAATAATTGAGATGAGAATTGAAAACTTTTTGTTGGCTTAATTATCTTAATTATTTTAGATGTTTTTTAATTAGATAAGAAATTATATGAGACAAATACATGCATGATTAAATTGGTGAGTTGTACAAAATTAATTGTAAAAATAATTGTAAATTAATTATGTTCAATTTTACATTTATTTTGTATTAATGTAGCCCCGAAGAAGACTGCTCCTTCATTACATACTCTAAACGTCAGTTAATATTGTATAAAAAATATATATATATTAAAAAAAAAAAAATAAACACAAAAAAAATCAAAAAATAAAAGGCTCCTAAATATAGCAACTGCCTAAATATGCACTTGCTTTATGTAACACCATTACATAAAAGTTATAAGAAAAAAATGTGCAATAACGAAAAAGAATATTCTATCATAGTTTTTCATTGCGTTCCAATGGTCCAGAGTTCAAATTTATTTAACCAGTCTTCAATAATTTTTACATATTTGTTTTTTATATTCAGGTGAGGAAATTCTTAGAGGAGACGGCTAGATGGAAACGCGAAAAAGAAAAGGAAAAGAAACACTCTGAATCGGAAAAAAAATTGAAGAAAAAGAAGAAAGAGAAGAAGATCAAGGATAAGGATAAGGAAGAGAAAAAGTTACGGAAGAAAAAAAAGAAAGAAGAGCGCAGGAAGCGTAAAAATAAGGACAAACTTGAAAGAGATTTGCAAACATCATTACCTGATCTTGAGCAACTTGAGTCAAAGCTTAATGCCTATTATGCCAAGGTTGAAAAAGAAACAGCAGTTATTAAAAGGTTAGCGCCAGGATTTCAGTCGTATGTACATTATTTTCAATTTTACATACTTCTATATGTATATTTTGTGCATACTCAAATTTTACTTGTTTATACTATTAGAATTATTTTATATTAATTTTAGATGTTGTGCCCTGTCATAATAATAGTTATGCTTTTTTTTTTATTATGCAATGGGCAAATAAATTTTATTCTTATTTTTTTTTTATATTTAATAGGTATGTTGCTCAGTATAATGACATGCCTTCCCCTCTTAGTAATGCCGAAAAGCTAGCGGAGTCCACGCGTAGAGAAGACGATTTACGCAGGGAAAAGGATAGAGATGAAGTTTTTAAGGCATATCATGAAAGAGATCCAAGGCTTAATTTACCATTGCAGAGAAAAGGTAATGCATAAAAGTTATTATTGCAAGCATACTTTGCAAACTATTATTTTGCAAGTCTTATGTTACCCTCTCTTCCAGATGTACAACGTAAACCTTTTCCAGATATATTTGAACAAGAATCACAGTTGATTCATCCCGAGCCAAAGCTCCCGAATTTGGATACCGTTACACTCAATGCTAAATGGAAAGCTGTACAGGCTGCTAGGTATGTTATTAATTCATATTTGCATTATTTTTAGTTATATAATTTAATTTGAATATTAAATATACAAATGTATAAAATTCGTTGTTATTGAAGATGACAACCAACTTTTCATCCAAAATAAATGTTTTGTGTTTGAAGAAGCGTTTGTTTTAAAAAAAATTGAGGTTAAAGGACGATTTCATCGAAAGCTTAAAATTTTCCCAAAAAAGATGCAGCCGATTGTCAGTATTAATAAGTCCTAATTAATATTATTTTTCATTTTTTATAATAAAATGAATATGAAGATATTTTCAGTACTCTTGAAATGTTCAGTCCAGAATAATGCATAATACAAGAAATATAATTTTTAGAATAATCTTATGAAATGTAATATAATTAACAATGCATAAAAAACTAAATAAAATATCGAAAAGTAGATGATGTTTTGCGGCCTCGAGAACAGTCCTTGAAATGATTTCAAGTAAATTGGAAGAATTAGGGGTCAGATATTGGGTTTTCGATGAAATGATCCTTGGTGTAGACCTTTAGGGTGCACCTGTTCTGACTTTCAATGGTTGCTCTTCAGGCAACGGGAGCCCCAACAACAAAAGTGGCAGGAACTGCAGCCAGAAAAGAAGCAGAAGGCGCCGCTTGAGAGCGAGGACGATGAGCCTGAAATGCAGCGTCCGCTCGATAAATCTCTTAATATTCGCAAGCATATGCAGCGCGAAATGGCAGAGAAGCGCGCTCAGCAACAAATGGTTGCCCCGACGCCACCTCCCGGGCACAAGGAATCGCCCATGAAGGCCCAGGCCCCAGTCAAGTATCCAACACCCCAACCGCAAAACAAATTCCAAAGCTATAAGGACGCAGCGATTTCTATGCAGCAACAGCAGCAGCAACAGCAGCAACAGCAACAGCAACAATCTAATTCGAACTCAACCAAGTTTTCGTCCAGTCTTGGCAACAAATTCCAACCGATCGGCCCTGCCTCCGGCGGCGGCGCCGATCCCAAGACCAAGGGCACTCCGCGCTCTGACTCGGAGGGTGAACGCGTTCCCAAACATCAGCAGCGGATCCGACGTTCGCGCTCCCGCTCGCGCAGCGGCTCCAGCTCAGGCTCCTCCCGCTCTCGTTCCCAGCGCTCCCCGAGGCGGTCGCGCTCTCGCTCCTACTCGGGCCGCCGCTCCGGAAGCTACGAGCGCAAGTATAGCCGCTCAGCTTCTGGCACTTACTCCGGGCGCTCGCGCTCCCGCTCCCGCTCGCGTTCTTACACGCGCTCCAGGTCCCGCTCGCGTAGCCCGGATCGCGGCTACTATCGCAAGCGTCAGTTCCGCCCGTACAATAATCGTGGCACGTACTACAAGCCGCGTTTCCAGCCCTTCAATAACCAAAACCATCGGGGCCCTGGAGGCGGAGGCGGCCAGGGCTTCCGCAACAATGGCCAGCAGCAGCGTTTTTACGGCAATCAGAACAATCAGAATCGCTTCAATAACCGCCGTGGTAATTTCCACCACAATCAGCGCGGTCACATGATGAATCATCGCGGCGGCCGCATGAACAACCGTGGCGGCCGCTTCTTCCACAACAACCGTCAGAACAATTTCCGCGATAACTTCCGCGATCGCAGGGACTTCCGGGATAGGCGAGCTTTCTCGCGCGAGCGCTACAGCGACAGAAGTTATTCACCAGACCCCATGCGCAAGGTCGACGAGGCTAAGGAGAAGATCAACAAGATGATCGAGGAGGGCGGCGAGCGGGCACCTCGCTCGCGCGACAGGTCGCGATCAAGGTCGCGCTCTCGTACGCGGGAGCGTTCACGCACTCGGGAACGTTCGCGTACGAGGGAGCGCACCAGGTCGCGGACGCGGGAGCGTTCGCGCTCGAGGCCCCGAGAACGGGAGAGGGATCGCTCGCCGGTGGAACGCTCAAGGGAGCCGTCGCCGAAGAGCCGTGAGCCCGCGCTCAGCGAGCACGAGGACAGGGAGGAGGACGACTACGAGCGCTGGGGCGAGGGCGAGGAGCTTGACGGAAAGGTTCGTAGCTAAGCCTCTTGTTCTTCTCCTCCCTCGCTGATGAACCTCTGATCCACCCACCCAACAATCAACCAACTACCCCCTACGATCATTGCCGCAGAGAGTCGATGCTTCCTTAAGGATAACGCGACCTCCCCGCGCGCGCTGCGAATACGCCTCTCGTGCCCCCGCGGCCTCTGAGTTCGTATCCCGGCCGACTGGGGATCTCCGTGTCATTCTTACATGATCTTTTCTCTCGGTGTATATGCTCAACAACATAAATTCAGCGTCATGTACTCCGTGGCACTTTGTAATGTTTTTATTCCTATGCTATCGTGTGTACACAGCAGAGAAGAGGTCAATCATAACGTGTCGTAACGATGATGCTTACTGGAAATGGTCCGGATCGTAACTCTCGGTTTGTTGTCAGAACAAGGAGGATATCCAAGCCGCGGGTGACGTTATACTGGAAGAGAAGGAGGATTTCATTCAGCGTATGAAGCAGCGCAGCCAGAACGTTCTCATCAAGAGAGCCATCGAAGCTAGGACATGGTACAGGCCAACTTCGCCTTAGGAAAATACAAATAAAGACTATTTTCACGATAAACGACACGTTTTGTTATGACAACTGGCCGTCTATTCGGATTATTAATCCTTTCACCCAGATTCCTCTTTTCTGTGATACATCTAATACATGGACGACTGGCATTTTTGACTTCAGCAACATTCATAACTTTCACTGAACCACGTGATTCGATGCCTCTGTTTGATTAGATTATAAGGATTTAACTTGAACAGTAAGCTGCACCAACATGCGCAATTATAAATTTGTTTGGCACATTGTTTTTGCTATAATTACAACGGATAATTAACGATCCGTTCCACTCAATTTTCGTTGTATAACGAATACCTGTATAAAAAAAAAAAAAAAAAAAAAAATCCGCAAAAATATATGCTCTTATTATTAAGTTAACTAATGTATTTATCTTATTTTATAGCCTTCATTTCAATAAATTCGAACAAAAAAGAAAAAAGTCTTTATTTTTTGGGTTTTCACATGGTATTTTTAAGCAATGATAATAATAATGTGATTGTGATTTTTTCTATAATGCGGCATGAATTTACATTCTGCTTCGTTGTGCCACTACGTTATCGAAGATATTTTGTTAATGTTGAATCGCTCATGATGCACCGTACCTTTTTTTTTTTTACTTTGTTTACATGTTTTCATGTCAAGTGCGTTTTAAAAAATTCGACAGATTGTTGAATTAGTAGTACTCTGCTATCAAGAAAAAAGATGTGGTTTTTATTCCACATATAACAGAATTAATTATTATATAATATTAATAATAAAATGTCTTTTATTTATTTTATAATAATAAGAGGATAGAAAATGTGTCAATTTATTCAATTTATTGGAAAATCAACTAAACATTGTTTTTGTGATCTACAATATAGAAATATTTAATTTATTTTTATTTGAATTTTTTGTTTAAATATATAATATAGATTTATTATTATTTATAAATTTATAGGATATATAAGAAAATTACGTAAATATAGTAATATAACGATAAATACTTATACATTTGGTATGTGACGTACATCATTGAATAAAGTATTGCAGTACGACAAGAATAATTTGGTAAGTCATTTTTAATTTAATAAAAATATAGTTTGTGTTCGTTATTGTCTGATATCGTATATGCATTGACAATGTTTTATGTATTATTGAACTTGAATGAAATTTCTTAAAATCTAAGCGTCATATTTTATTCTTTGCATTAAATGGTGCTATTGAATTTTAATTTTTAAGCTTGTGCATGCTTTTGGTAAAAGAAAACTTTAAATCGTATCCAATATTTATCATGAAAATCCTTTTTGAAATTATATTTTTTATCATAAAATATTTGAAATTAAAAAAAAAAGTAAAAGTTATATAAATAATTTGCCCGTTATAATGTCCAATGATCTTGAATAAATAAAACTAAAAATTTTTACTGTTAGTAATGACATTTTTAATTAAATAATGTATAATTTGATATGTGAAGCACGATACAAATATACAAAAAAAAAAGAAGGATTTTTTTCTAAATTGTCAAGTTATTTTATATTCGAAATTTAATTTTACTAAAAATTTTCAAAATATTATTAAATTTCAATAATTTAATTTTGTATTTTTTAAGAATCGATTGAATATAGAAATATACAATTGTTCGATGTTATATTATTCCGAGTTTAAATATGTTAGTAATAGTTATTAGAAGGTTTAATTCTATTGAATCATATTAATGCATAAATTTCATTAGAGCTTAAGAAAATGTTTTCGCCTTTACCAATTCTACAAAATAATCTAGACTTTGCATCAGTATTAACGAATGAAACTAATTTATTTGAAATTTTATCACAGAAAATAGATATAAATGTGAACTTATAAAACTATATACTTTAAACGGTTGCGAAGAATTAACGGCTCTGTATTTATCCCCATTCCGATGCAGGTCATACCACTAAGTTACTCTTTAATTTTTATTTTTACATATGTGATTCTGTACGCTTAAAAGAAAGCAACTCATAGAATTACATAGCATACGTAAAATTGAAATGGTTTTTTTTGTTCGAATAAGTTGGAATTATAAATCTTTACCTAAATATTTCTGTCATTCAAGTTATTATTCGACGTGTGGCTTGGCAAAAGTAAAACATCATATTCTTGAATTTAGAATAAATATATGAAAAATTTTTTATTCCTTCTACGATCATGCAACTTTATAACAGAATCACATTTGAGTTTGTATAATTAAAACTAAAGATCGTTTAGGAAAGTCATTTATATATATATATTTTTTTATGTCTAATATAAAAACTTAATTAATTAATAAAATAGAGTTATAATTCTATAATAATATAAATAACTCATACTAGTAGATTATTACTATAGAAACAAATTTTATTTTAAATATTCCATTAATAAAGTAAAGATAATAAAATCATTAGTATATTACCCTTTGTTCAGTTAAATTATTACAATTTCTTAGTTAAAAATGCATAATATACATTTATTTTTATCTTTTTCTCTACATCTACAGATAATATTTCAATATGCTTGTATTGAAATCGAACAGGTAATAAGCATGTACTTGCAGTTTATTTTACCTATTGAAAATATTACTGTAGGCGGCTATTTTTCAAGGGTTTATTGAATTGGGTGGAATGCTAATTGTTTTAACCTATAGCAGTGTGTGCCGTTGAAAATATTTTTAATAGAAATATACAACCATTAAGAACACGATCTAAAAATATTATCTAATTATCTGTAATAAGAACCGTCAAATCTTAACATTTAAATTTTTTTTTTGAAGAATTTAATCTGCGATTTGATTTCAAACTTGAAAATGTTCGATATTGTAGCAATTTCTCCTTAATTATGAGAGGCTCCTTAACATTAGATTTTTGCACTACTTATGTTTCTCGAATTTGTTAAATACTTCAGTTAAATAGAAGCATTTTCTTTCCAATTGATAACAAATTGTTTGTTTATGCATCATCAGTCTAAACAATTTGTTTAATAATGATACATGGTTAAAAAATTTAAACATTGAGCTCATTGAATAACACAATTAACTTCTATTATGATACTAACAAAAATTAATTTATTATTGTTTATTAAATTTTATTTGATTATAAGATAAAGAAAAATAAGCAAATATAACTTATTAACACCAATTATCGATATTTTAAATCAAAATTGTTGAAGAAAGGCTTTCGTCCTTTTCTATGGAATTTTCAGCTTTCTAATTTTTTTATACTCTATTCGTTTCAAGAATCTACCCATATACTGCAATAATAAAACTTTTTCGATATTTGTCTTGAATACATCTCCGATCGTCATGAATTTCACTCATGGATTCATTTATAATTTCTATCAGGAATATTTTTTCTCCATCAAAATTTTCATTTCTACATGTATTTAATTCGATAATCTAACGATGGTGGAAGCCAAAATAATAACAATCTTTGCTTTTTCTTTATTGATATAAATTTTATTATTTAGAATAAATCGGTATGATGGTAATCGAATGAATCGGTATTTATTTTTTAATAAGTATGCCGTAATACTTAAGTTCATGTTTATTTTTAACTGAAATTTAACTGAAAACCGAAATCAGACTAATTGACAATAACATTCGATTAATAAATGTTCAATTTATATATACGCTTTAACTTAGTTAATAGTATATTAAGTAATTAATATTAAAAGTTGACAATTATGTTAAGTCAGGTATAATAAATGGTAGGTTTGTTATACATTTTCAATAATTTGAAAAAGTTTTATTAATATTTTAATTCATCTATTTCCTATATTACCAGTGCATTTATACAATCTATGTATTCATACAAATTTAAAAGTGTGTTGTGTCTATATGTTTATATAGACATATTAGAGGAAGTGCGTCAGAGGTGAAAGTTCGGAAATACTTTTAAATTCACTTTATTGAAATCGGCGAAAAAGAATAATACTATTTATAAATATAGTATGGTATAATTAGAAGACATTTTTATTTATGTATTTTTTGGAAATTTTACAAATCGTTTAATTTTACAGATTAGGTAAAATATGTGTAAGGTTACGTGAATCGCGAATGCTTGATATGATAATTAATTTTCAATGACGCATAGCAAATATTAGAAAGTAGTGATGAATCATAGATATTTTTTTTTTAATGACTAAATATTTTTCGATTACACAATAGAATATGAAATTAGAAATTATATAAGTGAAGAACAAAGATTAAATAAATACATTATTAAAAAAAGCGTAAAAATTCATCTTGCAATAATTATTAATATAAAGAAATTTTAAATGTCGTATAAAAATTATCTATAAATTAAAATCTTACTTAAGCAAAGAATTTGAATTCTTGGTAATTAATATGACAATATAAAGTAATTATGAAATTAATTTTGTTCTTTCGAATATTAATATTGCTTTAAATATCATGTAAATACTCAAACTTTTGTACAAAGCATTTGAAAAATTAATTTTTTTTTATTTTGTTGTATTTATTATTTCTAATTTAAAAAGAATATGTATTCGTAATGTAGTACGTTTAATTTCTTCGATATTATATAAGTAATATATTTTATTAAATAATTATTGCTCTTTGGGCATCCTTTGTGAAACAGGAAGTATAAAAAATTATTGAATTTGAAAAAAGAATAATGAGAGATATCATTTTAGAATTATAAGATTAATTTTACCACTTCGTACTACTTTGTACAGTAAATAAAAATATTTTAAGGCGACAAATAACGGTACGTACAAAAAATATATAAAATGTTACAGCATTTGCACTACAGTTTTAATTCAAATTATAGTATTTTCTAGGTGTGTAACTCAATCGTTTATTACTCACTGATAGTATACTTCCAATGCAATAAAGAAGTAAAAATGAAAGAAAAAATAATTACACCTAAATTGTCTATTTAACTATCTTATCATTTAGAGGCTATTAAACTATAATAAATACAATAATGTTATATTTATTTATCAGTAAAACACGTTTACGTATCTCATTTGCTTATTAAAATATTTTAATTACATATGTAAGATGACTTGAAAATTAAGCGAGTTGCTTTGGAACTGGTTTATTATTTTTTAATTTATTATTTATTATTTTTATCCGCAGTCACATCGTAAGAGCCTATACATTATAACCCGTTAGGTACAAGTAAATACTTGTTAACGTAGACTTTTTTTATTTAATTCTTTACAATTCTTTTTGTCATAGAAATTAATTAGAGTTATTTCGTTTGACAAATTTTTCTTAATGTATGGAAATATTATATTATGTCAAGAAAATAAGTTCCATGATACTAGAGACATTTTATTTAATATTCATTTGAAAATATAGTCCGAAAATTATGATTTTGATATTATG